GGGAGACCGGGATGGGGCGTGACAAGTTGATTATCCATCCAACTCTTGAGGCATTTACTATTCCTTTATTTTTCTTTACCCCCTCCCCTTTTGCCTATAAATACCTCCATTGTGAGAGCTTCAAAGGGCATTAGGACATAGATTTAGGCTTACATTTTAGAAATAGATATTATTACATAGAAAGATAGAGGGAGATAGATCATCTTTTAGTTGAGGAGGAAACCCTCCAAAAGTGACTAGCTTCTTCTACTTTTATTTCTTAGTTTCATTAGCTTCCATTGTTTGAGCTTCCTTCTTCCCTTAGATGAGTGAAATTCTTTCACTTTTCTAAGCTTTACCAAAGCCGTGAAGAGTGAGTAATTCCTCATTCACTCTTTAGTAAGATGTGGTGGACATGTTTAAATCATTCAAAAGCTATATTTGTGCATTTCGTCTATGTTAATGCTTTATCTTTCACTTGTTTATTGAATGATTGAACACATCTAGCAAAACTAAGGTACTTTGTACAACCATGAGTTCTTTCTATGACATAGATGGCTCTTGACATAGGAAGGCTCATTGGTTTTAGGCAATTACCCTAGTTAGATCTTCATGACTACATTTCAATCTTCACCATTATTGTGCTTCAACTAAGAATAGAATACTATTGCGGTGCTTGGATGCCTTATAGAACTACTTGCTTGTTTGTAGACGAGTTGAGTCTCGGCACAGATAATTCTTGTAAATCTCTACAAAGACATCAGAACTATGCTCTTAGTTCTCACAATCCATTTTTATCTTCCAATTAACTTTATGTTGACACAGGAGTTAATTGAGTTTCCAAGCACAAGTATACCAACCGATGAATAACTATATGTTCAAATCCTCGAGCAAAGGCTGACTTTTACATTTGAAAGCTTATTATATTTTGTCTAGAAAATCCCCTTGGAAAGAATCTTATATTTTGTCCAAGGAATCCCGTAGACTCCATAACTTTAATCTCAAGGATTCCATTCAATTTGGTCTTTGTCACTACTTGCTTCGAAACACCAACATTAGTTTTCTATGGATTCAACTCCGGACTTAACCAAATTATTACTACAACTTGATCGTCTGCACTTGGGTGTACACATTTCGGATCAAGTCAATGGGAATCCATCTATCCAGTCAGATTTTAACTTTTTTGCCATCTCCAATACCCCATCTTGACCCCCACTTAATTATCCTTCTGGCTTCTAGGATACTTCGTCATGTGAATGAGGGTCGATTGCCCAAGTTTACCTCCATAAAGGTTGTCGAGGTTAAGTATCTACTTTTCATCACTTTGTGAATGAGGGTATTTTTCTCATTACAAATCCTCCATGCTTGTTTGGCCAGAAGTGCCATATTAAATGTTTTGAGGTCTCGAAAGCCCATGCCACCTATTTCCTTGATTTTTCACATAGTTTTCCAACTCACCCAGTGTATTTTCTTTTCACCATTCTTCTGTCCCTACCAAAAATTGGAGGTTAATGATTCCAATTCTTCACACTTGTAGTCAGGAAACTTGAAACAACCCATGGAATATGTGGGGATGGATTGGGTAACTACCTTAATGAGGACTTGTTTCCTGGCACTTGAGAGAAATTATTCTTTCCACCTCTGTAGTTTGCTCCACGCTCTTTCCCTAATTTGACCAAAGACCCCCTCTTTGAACGGCCAACGATCATGGACAATCCGAGGTATTTATCATGTTACTCCACTAGTAAAACACCCAAAATGCCTTGGATCTCCAAAGTTTTATCTTCTGGTGTATTACAATTGCATACTATTGCTAACTTCTCAATTTTGATTTCCTGACCCAAAACTATTTAAGATATTTGGAGAATTTTTTTCACTGCTCTTGCTTCTGAAACCTTGATACTGAAAAAGAGGAAGTTGTCATCCGCAAAGAATAAGTGTGACACCTTCGGGCAGCCCTTTCCAATTGAAACTCCTTTAATACTTCCATTTCTCTCGAATGCCCATAATAGAGAAGGCATGCCTTCTGAACAAATTAGAAAAAGATAAGGTGACAAAGGGTCCCCTTGCCTGAGACCTCTTTCAAGGTGAAAGTAGCTAAACTGCTCATTGTTTAAAATGAAAGAGTAAGAGAATGTAGAGACACATTGCATGACTCTATCTACCCATCTTTGATCAAAAACTCAGTTTTAACATCATATATTCCAAAAACACCCACTAAATCCTATCGTAGGCCTTACACATATCTAGTTTCAATGAAAAGGGACCCGCCTTTTTCTCAAAAGCTACCAATACATTATTAGTAATGAGTCTGCCAGGCACAAAGGCTCCTTGGTTTTCAAAGATTATTGAAGGAAGGATCAGTTTTAGTATGTTTGCTAGGACCTTAGATATGGCTTTGTAGACCACATTACAAAGACTGATTGGGTAGAATTGGGTTATTTCTTCTGGATTGGAACTTTTTTGGTATGAACAAATGTTGGTGTAATCCAACTTCTCCGGAAAATGGCCACAATTAAGGAAGGATGGGATATAATGAAGGACATTTGGGCCACCTATTTTTTAAAATTTGGGGCTTAGCGAGGCCGGTACCTCCCAAAAAATTTAATAGGATAAAAGTACACTTTTTAAAATAATTGGGATAGAAGTACATATGCTAAAAAATAGTCATAAAAGTCATTTTACCCCTAACATAAATAGTGCATATCTAATTGAATGTGAAACTTTCAAGATTAGAATGTGAAACTTTCAAAATTTCTTTTGATATATATATATATATATATATATATATATATATATATATATATATATATATATACACACACACACACATGTAATACAGTGACATCAAACAGTGATACGCTCAATAAAAAAAGAATAACACATTCAACAAAAAAATAGTAACATCAAACAGTAACACACTCAACAAAAAAATAGTAACATCAAATAGTAACACAAATATTTGTTTTGAGCGTGTAACTGTTTGATGTCACTGTATTACGTGTGTGTGTGTGTGTGCGCGCGCGCGCGCGCGTGCGTGTATATATATATGTTACTCTTTTTTTGTTGAGCGTGTCACTGTTTGATGTCACTGTATTACGTATGTGTGTATATGTATATGTGTGTGTGTGTGCGTGCGTGCGTGTATATATATATATACACACAAAATTTCAAAATTCAAATGATACACAAATATATCTTGAAAGTCTCACATTCAAGTAGGTATGTACTATTTATGGTAGGGGTAATTATAGAATACATTTTAGAAAGAATTTGAAAATGTTTTAAAATGTGTATTTATTGACAACTATTTGATAAAAAAAATGACTTAAAAGAGGATAAGTTTGGAGGTGGTACTCAAAGCCAAATAAATTTTGAAAAAGGTACTCACATCCCATTATCTCTTAAAATTTTTGAAAGAAAAGGGCTAGTATCCTATCGAAAGATTTGCATAAGCCTCGTATTCATTGCATCTATCACTTTGTGAACCACCTCCATAATTATAACTTCCATGTCAGAAGTTTGGGGCTTAGTTGTTGAGAACAAATTTTTAAAATATGATTCCATAACCCTTTCCAACTCTTGGTTATCAGCGCACCATCCTCCCTATTCATTCCTTAATCTGCAAATTCTGTTCTTTGTTGTCTATTAGTCGCACAGGCATGAAAAAATGATGTATTTCGGTCCCTCTCTTTTAGCCACTGGATGAGTGACCTTTGCCTCCAATATGCTTCTTCTATGTCCAAAGTCTCATCCAACTCCTTTTGACATCCTTTGCTCTTTTCATATCTTCTTCTATCATTGTCCTTTGCCTTAGAAGTTCAAATTCTGTTTTTAGCTTACTGGCTATGAGCCTCAAATTTCTTAAGCTATCTTGGTTCCATCTGAGAAGTCCTATTCCGCAATTTTGGATGTTCTTGAAAAAGGCTTCCTCTTCCTCTTGCCCATTAGCAATACACCAATTATTCTTAATTACCATTTCACAATCCATTCACTTCACCCTATACGCTTCAAATTTAAAAGACTTTCTTCCTCCCTAACCCTGAAGATTCCCAGGTTTCTTTTATGTATCCAACATCAATTGGTAGTGATCTGATGCTTGGTTGAAAATATGGTGTACTACTGTTTCTGGGAATTTTTCCCTCCACCATGTATTGACGTAGGCTCTGTCTAATCTTTCTCAAACTGTATTCGGCGTCGGTCGGTTGTTACACCAGGTGAAAGGGTACCCTTTGAACCGCAAGTCTTCGAGAAAACAAGAATCAAGTGCCTCCCGAAAGGCTCTTATTTGTCAATTCGCCTTCAGGGGCATACCTTTCTTCTCGTTGTGTGACACAATCTCGTTGAAGTCTCCTATATATAGCGATGGTAGATGGCTCTCTGCTCCTAACCGAGCAAGCACATGTCATGCTTCGCTCTTGCTAACTACTGGTTCACCATACAATCCCGTAAGTCTCCACTCACCCCCGTCATCTTGATTAACTACCACATCTGTATGTCTGTGTAAGAAGCTTCATAGAGTCACACTTAAATTCTTTTGCATTAATAACGTCAATCCTCCTAAATGGCCGCTCGAATTAATGCCCACTCCATTCATACGCATACTCATCTTCAGTCTTATCAATTCTCACCGAGTTAAACTTTGCCAACACTAGGAAGACAAAGTCGGGCCTTTTGTTCCTCATGAATTTGTGAAGACTATGGGCCGTCCGAGGGTGTCCGATCCCTCGGTAGTTGCAACTTAAGGTTTTCATGGAATTAGGTAGGCGTAGAGATTGAGACTTGTATCTGGGTCGTGGCTTGTGTATCCTAATAGGCGTTGTCCAACCCATTTCCAACTTTCTTTAGGCGTTCTGTGGCTAGCCCTTCGAAAGATTCTTCCTTCCCTTGGGCTTTTAAGGTAGATGGGCTTCCCGCTTCTTTTAAATTTCATTGACACCTATTGACTTTGTTCAATCGCTTACAGAGCGGGTTTTACTTCCTAAGACATCTTCTTTCTCCTCAATCGATGGTATTCCTTTCTACTCGATGAGAAAACCATCAATCTTGAAAGGTAATTTATCGTTGCCCTCAATTATTGCATCCCTTCTCTCATCCACGTGACTGATAGGATTTTCATTCTCTACATCACCCCCGAGGCCTATTTCATCACTGGCGTTACCTATTTCTACGGCCATCGGGACTGGCCTAGAAGTTTCTATGTTTTTATGCTTCTTCTCCATCGATACTCTTAACCAAGGACCATAATGGGAATCAACTTGGCTAGGCATTCTCTTTCCCCATGCCCTATTCTACCATAATAATAGCAGAAATTCGGCAATCTCTCATATTTGAAGAAAACTATAATTGGTAAACCTTCAGTATTCTGTAGAATCATACCTCTCAACAGTGGTTCGTAACATCAATGTTTACCCTTAGTCTCAAACATCTGCCCTATCCGGTGCCATCCCTGCTTAGCTCCATATCGATCAACTTTCCCATCTTTCCTCCTATTATTTCCCCAGTGGTTTTACTCATAGTGTTGAGGGGAAGATTATACACTTGAACCCTTAGTGAGTACCATCTAAACATAATATTTTACGATTGTGTTGCTCCATTTTAATCCAACATCATCACCAAATTGTCGTCAAAAGTCCACGGCATTCCCTCCATCACCCTCCTCTTATCCAACCAATTGTCAAATTGGATTAAGAAAAGGCTGTCAGCCAAGTCCTTGATATCAACACTACCCACCTTCCAAACCAATTTCATTGTGCTTTTGAAAGCTGCCATGTTGAATTACTTTGTTAAAAAAATTTCCCAATCAAACAAAGTTTCCCTTTTTATTCTGTTTTCTAATCTATTCGAGAATTTATGTGCACCACGGACTTTTTTTCTTCTGTAAGGTTGTACGTACTCCAAAGTTTCTCTATCTCATCATCCATTTTGTTTCCCTCTGTTTATCTCCTATGGATGCTAGCCCAAGAAAGGAGATCACAAAGCGGCAACTACGTCAGAACACGAAACCTACAAATAAGTAAGGTTAAAAATAAAATAGGAGAGGATTAAGAACTGTGGTTTAAGGTGACACTCGTAAATGTTTAAGATGAAAAGGAGAGAAACAAGAGCCTTCAATAGAAGAGATTCCTATGAAAGACGGCGACTCTGTCCTAGCAAAGAAACGAAACCCCAACTGGAGAGGACTTGGATACCAAGAGAATCACACGAATCATTGTGCATTGGATATAATTTTTTGTGATAGGTTAATAGCATTTTTAGTTATGATTGTTTTGTCAGTTTAGTCTTCATTGTATTAATTTAGTTCTTAAAGTTTCAATTCATATCACTTTGTTCTATAATCAGACAATTCGTCAAGTTTTTTTTTATGAAAGTGACTTCGTGTCATTTTTTGAGATGATATCACGTGTCCTACAAGTGATCATTTCGTCAAAAATTTAATGATCCGTCTATGTAAGGATCATTTAAACATGAATTGAATACATTATGGATCAAATTAACAAAATATGTATACTTTAAAAATCAAAAATAATATTAACCATTAGATTTTGACTATATTATGGAGGGCTGGTTTCAAAATATTAGAATACTTGCTTCATTGATTGATGCTACAAGAAGGTCTACTTCCACGCTCTATTATTGATTTGTATGTCAACTTCCTAAATAGGCAATGATTGGGTTTCTTTACAAGTTGTGATGGTTGCGGATTGCTCTAGAAAGGTGGAAGCTTTCCATATACAGGACTGTAACTGGTTTTCGACTTGGCCAGAGGAAAAAAAAATTGTAATAGAGTAAAGTATATATGCTTAGACCCAAGTATTATACCTTGGGTTGCGCATTGCTGTGAAATTATCCACCATCTCACATTACACTGTGAACTATTGGTTTAAATTTTGCATTGCCAACCCAATTGTCTGCTTATTGTACATTTTTTGATAGCAAATCAGATCAAAAAAAAATTCGTGCAGCTGATGAGAGAAAAGTCCATCTCCTACCATTGTGAGATCTTAGTTTTGCCTTGATTTGTTATGAAAAATTGGACAAAACAACATATGGAGCAATGTAAAACTCAAATTAATAGCTCAATATGCAATGTGAAAAATAAATAGTTTAGGCGCAATGTAAAAAACAAATATTTTAAGTAACAATGTTAAACAAGAGGCAATTCAGACCTATTACAAGAGAATCTTGGGTAATGAATGATTATGAGTGCAGGTCAACCGTTAGGTCATCTAGGCCTCCACATTAGAAAAGGCCCCAAATTTTCTTTAATAATGGGTTTGACTCTCTTTCAATTATCAAATAATTAAAGGGTGCCTCAATTATAAAATCTTCTTCTTTTGTTTTGGAGGGCATCTCTCTTTCTCTCTTTGGTTAGACAAATAATATTTAAAAACTACGTATTACTATATCGATATATGGAATTACTTATAATTATTATCGTCTCTAACATAAACCAACAAAGCAATGACTCTGAGCCTTACACACAAAAAGGTCTCAAAATTTATGTATATCAATAATATAGTCTAATCGAGAAGTCTGAGCCACATATTAATCCCACAAAGAAGGCCCATGAAAGTCCAAGTCCCAAGAAAAAGATTAAATGATTATTATTGTATCTTTTTATTTATAAATGTTTTTATTTGAAAAAAAAAATTAAGAATCCTCACTAACCAAACTCTCTCTGAAAAAGAAAAAAATAATCAAGTCGGCCCTGATTTTGGGTCTCAAACATATAATGTTTTGCTAGTTCCGTGATATTTTAAAATATTTTGTTTCATTACTTGAGGCGAGTATAAAATTTTGATTTAAAAAACAATCATTTTTTAGTATTTTTATTGGTGATAGGTCGGTATCGATACCATAATGCTTAGATTTTCTCTGGCAATTTTGCAAACTTACGATTGCACTTCATTTCACTACTTGTACCAAAAACATACCTATAACTGGTGGCACTCGTTTAATACATGTCATGCACGTAGCCACGCCACTAGCTAAGGTCCATAATGGGTCGGGCCTACCCGATAGTCCATGGAATGGGTGTTGACTGATAAATGGGACGGCCCATCCAGAAAAATTTGGCACATGATCTGGTAATCGTGACAATCGTAACGGAGTCATCTTTTCCAAGTTGAACGTTTAAAATTTTTCTTCAGTTTGATGGACCAATGGATTGACGTGCATCACCATGATGGGCCAAGATTGTGACTCTCAGCCCTACCCATTGGCCACGGGCCCGTTGTCGAGGTTAACCAATCATAAGTATCCTCAGATGGTTTGTCGGCGAAGCATCCACATACCTAAAGGTAGGCTCCATAGCAGGGTAATTTATTGTAAAATAGACGTGTTTATTTGTCTAGATTAAAACTAAGTGCAAAATATTTTAGGCCGATTTGTTTTTAAAGCTTTCCATAAATCTTTTTGCATTAAAACTAACCCCAAGTTTTAAATATTCACTTAGTTTGAAGAGGTAAACAATAGGAAGATAAATAAATTTTTGAAAACTATAGATCATCGTTCTCCGAATCCTAGCAGGGTCAACAAGCAATAATAAAATAGAAAAATAATAAAAGCAATGCTATTGGGACATAATTGAAAGACATAATTTCAGGACATAATGAGTTATCACCAATGATATGATAATGAATTTATTAATACTACAATGGGACCCATTATTAAATGCATTTTACTATTATTTCATTGGTGACAATTCATTATGTCCCTAAATTATATCCTTCAATTATGTCACAATAGCATTAGTAAAATAATAAACTCGCCATGATTGTTCACATTACAAGATTTTAGTAGTTAATACCTTGAAATATTGAGTTCGAATCCAGTACGACATGCTCTAATTGATCCATTGCATGTTGTTTACAGTTAATTACATATATTTCAATTTACGTGATATTTATGTGTCATTGGGATAGTTTTCACTTTTCAGTTATTGAAACAAATGAGGATGACTAATACTATATAATTCAAATGAAACTCAAAAAGTTGAAACTCAAAAAGTTTCAACCCAAATGCATATAATTCTTTAAATGAGTAAGTCTCATCAATTTTTTCAGTGGAGTCTATAACGACAAATTTCATGATGCAATATAACACAAAATAAGGTTAAAATACAATAATCAATTTAATTGACTTTAAGTAAAAAAATATAGCGTTAACTCTCTTTGGAGTGCTTCTTACGTATATTATTCTCTAATTCTCAATGAATTGATAATGAGGGCCGGATCGGCATATTTCTTGATTTTTGATTCGGTAATACTTTGGTCGATTTGTTGAAAATGAGAGTCGGATTGACATGGTTCTCATTCTTTGATCTTTGACTTGATTTTGTCGAATTTTCTCACTGTTCTTTGTGTTAAATGATTTATAGATGATTTGGATCTCTTGAAAAAGGACTTTAGCTTTGTTTTTTCTCCTTAGAGATAGATTTGTTAAACCTCAGTTGAGGATAAACTCTGGTAGAGCTTCTCTATTGATCTTCCCTTCTCCGGAGGTGGACTTGTATAGAATTTTCTTGATCTTCCCTCTTCTTTGACTTCTCTTGCTCCGCCTTCTTGGCCTCCTCCCTTTGTTTCCCTTTTTCCGACATCTATTTATAGTGATAAGAGTAATTATCTATATAAAGGTATTTTACCTGAATACTCTTATGTGGACTTTAGGTAATGGGCTACCCATAAATTTGTGGGTTTTAGTTAATTTATAGAATTTAAGTCCAACCTTTTTTACCTTTTAAATGTTTGTTTAATTTGAACCTGTGAAATTTAAGTCTATTTTAATTTAATTTAACAAGCCTGATTAATTGTATTTGGGCTTGTATTATTTAGGGTATGAAATTTAGGTCCAATTTAATTTAATTTGACAAGTCTTGTTAATTAAATTTGGGTTTGTATTATTTAGGTTATGAAATTTAGGTCAAACCCAATGTAATTTATCTAATTGATTTGAGTCCAATTATAAACATTAATTTTTTAATGTCTACAAATGCCCTCTCTAGACTTATTTGCATATTTAATAGTTTATAAATATGTAAATGGGTCTCGAATTTATTTTTTAATTTAAAAGAAGTTTAATTAAATTTAAATTTATTATTTCATGATCAACATGGAACTATAGTCCATGTGAAACTCGAAAAAAGATACAAAATTCAACTTAATTATTATTTTTTAGTTCTTTAGTAATATGGACTTCTAATCAATCTTTGAGTCAATAATAATTTTTCTGTTCCACATAGACCTAAAATTTAGAATTTCAATTCATGTATACTTAGAGTAATTAAGTCCTTTCTTCACTCAATAAATAGACCTAAAGTGTATTTATATTTGACATGGGTGGACACCGTCAATCCATTGGTGCTGTGCAATATGGTTTTTTTTTTTTTTTGTTTCTTCGTCTCCACTAGACAAGGACTAGCCCTTTTGTTGAACAAGGAACAAGGAACAGCCTTTATGAATGTTAAGCTTAACCCATCTCCTTTTCCTTATTATTTTTTAAATGCATTATTCCTCTTATGACGTTATTTTTTTATTGGTTAATATTTTTTTTTTGTTATCATTCAATTTGTTTGTTTGTTTGTTTGTTTGTTTTTATGATTGTTATTTTGTTTTTTTTTTCCTTTCCCTTTTTGTTTGAAGACTTTAATTAGAATGACTTTATCTTAAAACTTTAATTTCAACGATTTTTTTTGGTATACAATATGCTCAAATTTTGTTACCATAAGTACACAAGATATATTTTTTTTTGTTGGTCTTGTGATAATCATG